ACTCCAACCTCAAACTCCTCGCCTTAAGTGATTCTCTCACTTAGCCTCCTTAGTAGCTGATATTGCAAGTGTGGGACACTGTGCCCAGCTTTAATGTAGATTTTTATTGCTATAATCTCCCTTTTAATAACTGCTTTTGCTGCATCACATAAATTTTGGTATGTTTCCATTTTTGTGTGTTGTGAGATATTTTTTGATTTCTTTTTGAATTTCTTTTTGACCCATTGTTCAGGAGTATGTTAATTTCCACATATTTGTAAATCTTTCAATTTTTCTTCTGTTATTTATTTCTAGTTTCATGCCACTGTGATTGGGAAATACCTGATATGATTTTAGTCTCCTTAAATTTTATAAGACTTACTGGCCTCAAGATCTGTCCTTTAGAATATTCCATTTGCACTTGAGAAAGTTCTATATTCTCCTGCTGTTAAATGAAATATCTCGTATATGTTTGTTAGGTCCATTGGTGTAAAGTGTAGTTAAAATGTAAGGCTTCCTTATTTGTTTTCTGTCTGGATGATTTGTTCATTATTGAATGTAGAATACTGAAGGCCTCTGCTATTATGGTATTGCTGTCTATCTCTTTCTTCAGATTTATTAATATTTGCTTTATATATTTAGGTGTTGCAGTGTTGGGTGTGTATATATTTGTTATATTCTCTTGAGCTTTTTTCATTATATAATAACCTTCTTTGTCTCTTGTGACTGTTTTTGACTCAAAGTATCTGGTCTGATGTAAGTTTAGTCACACCTGCTCATTTATTGGTTTCTAATTGCATGGAATACCTATTTACATCCCTTCACTTTTATTCTGTGAGTAAGCAGCATGTAGTCTTGTTTTTTAATTTATTCAGCCTTTCTATGTCTTTGAATTGAATAATTTGATCCATTTACTTTTAAGTTACCTTTAATAAATAAGGACTTACTATTGCCATTCTGTTAATTGCTTTTTAGCTGTTTCGTAGATCCTTTGTTCTTTTATTCCCTGTTTGCTATCTTCTTTTGTGATTTGTTGATATACTTTTACTCCCCTCTAAGCATTTTATGTTTTTGATGTCATAATTCACATATTTTATATTGTGTACACCTTAGGAAATTATTGTAGCTATAGGTATTTTGTTTGTCTTTTACCCTTTATTCTGTAGACATAAGTGATTTACAGACTACTGTTACAATATTATAGTATGTAATTTTACTATATACATACTTTAACCAGTGAGTTTTATACTTTCATATATATTTGTGTTACTACTTAGTGTCCTTTCATTTCAGATTGAAGAGCTCCCTTTATCATTTCTGTAAGGCAAGCCTGATGATGATGAACTCTCTGAGCTTTTGTTTGTCAGAGAAAGTATCACTCCTTCATTTTTTAGACTAACTTTTTTGGGGAAAGTATTCTTGGTTGGCAGCTTTTTTTCTTGAAGAACTTTGAAAATATCTTCTTACTCTCTCTTAGACTGCAAAATTTTCACTGAGAAAACTGCTGTAGCCCTGTGGGGATTCTCTCTGTGTGAGAAAGCTCTTTTCTCTCTTGCTTTCAGGATTCTCTTTTTGTTTTTAATTTTTGACGGTTTGGTTATAATATGTTTTGGTGAAATATTCTTTTGGGTTGTACCTGTTTGGAGACTTTTTATCTTTCTGAATGTTTATATCCTTCCCCATATTCAGAACATTTTGAGCCATTATTTCTTCATATAAGCTTTTCCCCCTTTTTCTCTTCTTCTTTTTTAATTCCTATAATGTAAATGATAACACTCTTGATGCTGTCCCGTAAATCCTGTAGGCTTTATTTATTTATTTTATTTTTCAGAATTAAAAAATTTAAATTTTTGTATATTTAGAGGAGATAACTTCAGATTTCTTACATGTATATGTTGTGTCGTGGTGAAGTCTGGGCTTTTAGTGTACCCATCACCTGAATAGTGAACATTGTTTCCAATAGGTAATAGCCTTTAAAATTCCTTTGTATTCTTTATTCTTTTTTTCCTAACTGTATATTTTCAAATAATGTTCTTTAAGTTTACAGATTCTTTCTTCTCCTTGATGAATTATATAGTTGACATATTTTTTGACTTATCTTTTGTAATTTTAATTGTATTAATTATATTCTTTGGCAGCAGAATTTCTGTTTGGTTTTTCTTTATGATTTCCATCATTCTGCTAAACTTCTCATTTTGTTAGTGTGTTGTTTTTCTGATTTTTGTTGTCTATCGGTGTTTTCTTATAACTTACTGAGCTTCCTTAAAACTAGTATTTGAATATTTTGTCAGATATTGATAGAGTCACTGCTTCTAGACTTTATGGACTAGTTTTATATGAAAAGATCTTCACCTATGGGGTGGTTGTGAGTACACTAGCTGGGTGGGATGTGGCAATTCAGGATCCAGTGAGGATGTGGCAGTTTAGTGTCCATGTAGCTTTTTTGGCTGTGGTTGATGTGGGTAAAAATTTCAGCGGTGTGCAGTGGCCAAGGCCATAGGTATCTGCAACAGTGGCAAAGCCTGACAGAATTCTTCTGATCTCTTTTACTTCCCTAAGGGAAATTGTGGCAGAGGTGATACCTCTTTGTTCTGGGTTTGGCTTGTGGGTGTGCTTGTAGTGACAATGGTACCAATGTCTGATGCATGATACCTGTGGAGTGGTCAAGAAGCTTGGATCTGGGAGCACAGGTATGTATGGATTGACAGTGGCTTTCAGGTCCAGATGCTAGTGTGTGCAAGTCTACTGCTGCTCTGAGGACTGTGATATGGATATCCCTGCTGCATTAATGGTTCTGGTGTCTAGAATGCAGGCACTTGTTGAGTGGTTGCAGAGCCACATTCTGGAATGTGGTCACACCTGGAGAGCAACAGTTGCTCTGGGGCCTTGGGTGTGGGCTAGCTTGTTGTGGTGGTAGCTCTGATGTCTGACGCATGTGCAGTCAGAGTCTCAAAGAGTTGCAGCAGAGCTGAGGTTACAGCCCGCATGTGTACTGAGAGACTGCAGCTTCAGGGCCCTGGGCAAGGCTAGCATGTAAAGCCAGCGGCTCTGGTGACTATATTATACATGTGCATGGTGCAGCCTCAGAGATGTGGACTGGAATGTGAACACATGCAGAACAACAGTGGTTCCAGGATTGAGCTGTGGCTTAGCTCACTGTGGCAGTGGCTCAGATACCTGGAGCATAGGATTCATAGAGGAGTGGCAGAGCTAGGGTTCATTGCGCAGGCTGGTGCAGAGTGAGCATGCCTGTATGGCCTGGGATGGGGCTAGCCTTCAGTGAAAGTGGCTCTGGTGTCTGAGGCATGGGAGTGCATGATGCAGCTTTCTAGCAAGTGCTGGAGCCTGGGTACATATGGAAAGATTGTGACTCTGTGGTCTGGGTCACCCATGGAATTGGGGCATGGTGGCTTTGGTCCTGGGTTGGCAAAACAGTGACTCCTTCTTGGTGGTGGATGGAGCAACATTTTTCTTATCTGGGGGTTTAATGGTGGCAGTGGTTAGTAGTTATGTTAGTGGTGAGAGCTGTCAGTGTTCTCTGTAGAGCAGGCTACTAGAACCATGGTGGGACCTGTGGTTCCTGCACTATTCCTCATTCCTTGCCGTCTCCAGATGTCTCTGGTATGCTGATCTCCTCAGCTATCCTGTCTGTGTGGTTATTCTCCATTTTTTTCTGCTTTACTATCTTGCTGCAGCTTCTTTGAGACTTTGAGCCCTACCAAGGCCACTTTCATCCATGGATAGCTGTCTAGTGGTTGTTTTTTTAGGGGGGAGATGAAGACTGTTATCTCCTACTTTCTCATCTTGCTAATGTCATTTTGTGTTCTTCCTTTTTTTCCCCCAGGACTGTTTTCTAATGGCTTTTTCTTCTTTCTGGGGACTGAATTTTCAAATTGTAACTGAAATAAGAGTTGATGTTCCTTGTAGTCCTTTACCATATTTAGGGCAGAATTTAAAATTATCTCATATGCTATGATCAGATTACTCTTAAAATATTATTTTATTTTGGCCGGGAGCAGTGGCTTACGCCTGTAATCCCAGCACTTTGGGAGGCCGAGACGGGCTGATCATGAGGTCAGGAGATTGAGACCATCCTGGCTAACATGGTGAAACCCCGTCTCTACTAAAAATACAAAAGAATTAGCTGGGCGTGGTGGTGGGCACCTGTAGTCCCAGCTACTTGGGAGGCTGAGGCAGGAGAATGGCGTGAACCTGGGAGGTGGAGCTTGCAGTGAGCCGAGATTGCACCACTGTACTACAGCCTGGGTGACAGAACGAGACTCTGTCTCAAAAAAAAAAAGAAAAAATATAATTAATGTTTAGGAATTGTTGTATGCTTCTATGTTATTTAATATTTTCTTTGTGTCATGTCTTGTTTATCTAGCAGAAAAGTTAGTGCAGGGACTGTCTTCTGTCATATACTTTTTATGTCACAAGATTGAAGAGTCTTGTGGTACTACCCGAATAGTTCATTGATTATTGTCGATCCTTATTATGTTGGTTCTCCTTTAAGTAGCATCTTGGGTTCTCTTTTGGGTTCTTTGATACAGTTGTAAAGCTTAGTAGGTTAGCTGGATCCTTCCCATAGACCTTATTGACTTAGCAACATCAACTAAAGCAGTTCTCTTTTAATATCCTGGAGTCCCTCTGATATGCCATATCATAAGAAGGTCACATATATTGGACATTAATCCAGTTGTCTTTTACTAGATATATCGTATTGATCAAGTTATGTAACCTCTCTGAGCCTGAACTTCTTTATTTGAAAATTATGACAGTGTCTTATTTTTTAGATTATTTTAAGAATAAGAGAATGCAATATAACATGATGATTTGCACATAATAGGTATTTAATAAAATAGTAGCTATGTTCCTCATAAGCATTCTGTAGCCTCATGTAGCCCTGCTAGCCACTCTTTATGTTTTTTTAGCTTTCACATCTATAGCAGTTGTATTTAGCATAGAGCTATAACTTCAGCTATTTATAAAACCTTTAACATTTTTGACTTTTTAAATAATAGAAACTGCTCATTCAATGACTAATCGATTTAATACCATGTTGAAAGTATTTGAAAACCAGGCAAATATGTTGGAGAGGTAAGCATTTTTTATTTTTGCATTTTATTTTTCTATTTTAAAAAAAAGACAGATAAAATTGTATTTTTCCATATGTAATATGCTTATTGATAAAAGTTAGTATGTATTTATTGCAGAAATATTGAAAACATAAAGAAGAAAATAATGCCTCTGTCAACAAATTTAGAATTTCTTATATCAATTTTTATGATTTTATGTATGTATAATGTTTAAATGGAAAATTATAAACATAGAGAATGTAAAATGAAATGTAAAATATGTGCTATGGGAAAATAGTATATTGGTTTCTCAAAAAATTAAAAACAGAATTACCATATGATTCAGCAATTTCACTTCTGGGCATGTATACCCCAAAATTGAAAACAAGAGTGTTGAAGAGATATTTGTACATCCATGTTCATTGCAGCATTATTCACAGCAGCCAAAAGATGGAAGCAACCCACACGTGCAACAATGAATAAATGGATAAACAAAATGTGGCATATACATACAATGAAATTATTATTGAGTCTTAAAAAGAAAGGAAATTCTGATGCATGGTACAACATGGATGAACCCTGAGGACATTCTGCTAAGTATAATAAGCCAGCCACAAAAAAGACAAATGCAATTATTCCTCTTGGATGAGGTATCTAGAGCAGTGTCAAATTCATAGACACAGAAGACAGAATGATGTTTGCCAGGGGGTGCAGGAGGGGGAAATGGGGAGTTATTGTTTGATGCACACAAAGCTTCAGTTTTACATGAGGAGAAGAGTTCTGGAGATTGGTTGTAAAATAGTGTAAAGTTACCTAACACTGCTGAACTATACACTTAAAATAGTTAAGATGGTAAATTTTATGTTATATGTATTTTTCCATAGGTAAAAAATTAAAAGTTACAATGATACAAAATGTAGTTTGTGAATATTTTTTCACCTGTAAACTCATATAATTTCTTTTTAAAATAAATGTTTTATTTTTTTAAAATTTATTATTATTATTATTATTATACTTTAAGTTCTAGGATACATGTGCATAACATGCAGGTTTGTTACATATGTATACTTGTGCCATGTTGGTGTGCTGCACCCATCAACTCGTCAGCACCCATCAACTCCTCATTTACATCAGGTATAACTCCCAGTGCAATCCCTCCCCCCTCCCCGCTCCCCATGATAGGCCCTGGTGTGTGATGTTCCCCTTCCCGAGTCCAAGTGATCTCATTGTTCAGTTCCCACCTATGAGTGAGAACACGCGGTGTTTGGTTTTCTGTTTTTGCGGTAGTTTGCTGAGAATGATGGTTTCCAGCTGCATCCATGTCCCTACAAAGGACACAAACTCATTCTTTTTTATGGCTGCATAGTATTCCATGGTGTATATGTGCCACATTTTCTTAATCCAGTCTGTCACTGATGGACATTTGGGTTGATTCCAAGTCAACCCAAATTTGCTATTGTGAATAGTGCCGCAATAAACATACGTATGCATGTGTCTTTATAGCAGCATGATTTATAATCGTTTGGGTATATACCCAGTAATGGGATGGCTGGGTCATATGGTACTTCTAGTTCTAGATCCTTGAGGAATCGCCATACTGTTTTCCATAATGGTTGAACTAGTTTACAATCCCACCAACAGTGTAAAACACTGAAACTGGATCCTTTCCTTACTCTTTATGCGAAAATTAATTCAAGATGGATTAGAGACTTAAATGTTAGATCTAATACCATAAAAACCCTAGAAGAAAACCTAGGTAATACCATTCAGGACATAGGCATGGGCAAGGACTTCATGTCTAAAACACCAAAAGCAATGGCAACAAAAGCCAAAATTGACAAATGGGATCTAATTAAACTAAAGAGCTTCTGCACAGCAAAAGAAACTACCATCAGAGTGAACAGGCAACCTACAGAATGGGAGAAAATTTTTGCAATCTACTCATCTGACAAAGGGCTAATATCCAGAACCTACAAAGAACTCAAACAAATTTACAAGAAAAAACAAACAACCCCATCAAAAAGTGGGCAAAGGATATGAACAGACATTTCTCAAAAGAAGACATTCATACAGCCAACAGACACATGAAAAAATGTTTTTTTTTTTAATTGGCAAAATTATATATATTTATGGTATAAAATGTGATGTTTTTCTGTGTGCATACTTTTTGGAATGGCTAAATCAAGCTATGTAACAGACCCCAAATCCTCACATATATATCTTTTTTTTCTGGTGAAAACACTTAAAAACTACTCTCTTAGAAACTTTCCCTTTGTCTAGCTGCAATTTTGTACCCTTTGACTAATATCTCTCCATTTTTTTCCAACCCCAGCCTCTGGTAACCTGCATTCTGTTCTCTATTTCCTTGAGTTTGACTTTTTCTGGTTCTACATATAAGTGAGATCATGCAGTAATTGTCTTTCTGTACCTGACTTCTTAGCGTAATGTCCTTCAGTTTCATCCGTGTTGTTACAGATGACAGGATTTCCTTCTTTTTTAAGGCTGGATAAGAGATATATATATATCTTTCACATGTTCTTTATTTGTATCTTTATCTATTTTTACATTTAGGGACACTTAGGTTGATTCCATATTGTAGTTATTGTGAATAATACTGCAGTGAACATGGGAGTATAGGTATCTACTCAACATGATTTATCCCATTTCCTTTAGATGTATACTGAGAAGTGGAATTGCTTGGTCATATGGTAGTTCTATTTTTTTTTTTTTTTTTGAAGAATCTCCATACTGTTTTCCATAAAGCTGTACTAATTTACATTCTCACTAACATTGTGTAAGAGTTCCCTTTTCTCCACATTCTTGCCAGTACTTATATTTTTTCTTTTTGATAGTAGCCATTTTTTTGATAACAGGTGTGAGGTAATATTACCTGGTGGTTTAAATTTACTTTTCCTTGATGATTAGTGATGTTGAACATTTTTTTCATATACCCTGTTGACCATTCATATATCTTTTTTTTGAGAAATATCAAGCCATTTGTCCATTTTTAAATGGGGTTATTTGTTTTCTTGTAGTTGAGTTGAGCTCCTTTTACATCTTGGATATTAAACTCTTATCAGATGTATGGTTTGCAAATATTTTCTCCCATTACATAGGTTGTATCTTCATTCCATCGATTGTTTCCTTTGCTCTGAAGAAACTATTTAACTTGATGCAGTCCCATTTGTCTATTTTTGCTTTTGTTACCCGTGCTTTTGGGGTCATATAAAAAAATCTTTTCCAAGACCAATGTCGAGAAGTTTTCACCCTGTTTTCTTCAAGTAGTTTTACAGTTTCAGGTTTTACATTTAAGTTTTTAATTCATTTTGGGTCTATTTTTGTATATGGGGTAAGATAAGGACCTATTTTCATTCTTATGCAGTCTGTCCAACACAATTTATTGAAGAGACATTCTTTTCCTAATTATGTGTTTTTGGACATTTGTCAAAGATCAGTTGACCATATATATGTGAATTTATTTCTGGGCTCTCTCTTCTGTTCCATTGGCTATGTCTGGTTTTTTTTTTTTTTTTTTTTTTTTTTTTTTTTTTTTTTTTTTCCATTTTTTAAATTGTACTTTAAGTTCTGGGGTACATGTTCAGAACGTGCAGGTTTGTCACATAGGTATACATGTGCCATGGTGGTTTGCTGCACCCATCAACCTGTCATCTACATTAGGTATTTCTCCCCCACCCCGTGATAGGCCCTGGTGTGTGATGTTCCCCTCCCTGTGTCCATGTATTCTCATTGTTCAACTCCCACTTATGAGTGAGAACATGTGGTGTTTGGTTTTCTGTTCTTGGGCTAGTTTGCTGAGAATGATGGTTTCCAGCTTCATCCATGTCCCTGCAAAGGACATGATCTCATCCTTTTTTATGGCTGCATAGTATTCCATGGTGTATATGTACCACATTTTCTTTATCCAGTGTATCACTGATGGGCATTTGGGTTGGTTCCAAGTCTTTGCCATTGTGAACAGTGCTGCAATAACATATGTGTGCATGTGTTTTAATAGTAGAACGATTTATAATTCTTTGGGTATATACCCAGTAATGGGATTGCTGGGTCAAATGGTATTTCTAGTTCTAGATTCTTGAGGAATCACCACACTGTCTTCTGTAATGGTTGAACTAGTTTACACTCCCACCAACAGTGTAAAAGTGTTCCTGTTTCTCCGCATCGTCTCCAGCATCTGTTGTTTCCTGACTTTTTAATGATTGCCATTCTAACTGGCGTGAGATGGTATCTCATTGTGGTTTTAATTTGCGTTTCTCTAATAACCAGTGATGATGAGCATATATTTATAAGTTTGTTGGCTGCATAAATGTCTTGAGAAGTATCTGTTCCTATTCTTCACCCACTTTTTGATGGGGTTTTTTTTCCTTGTAAATTTGTTTAAATTCTTTGTAGATTCTGGATATTAGCCCTTTGTAAAATGGATAGACTGCAAAAATTTTCTCCCATTCTGTAGGTTACCTGTTCACCCTAATGATAGTTTCTTTTGCTGTGCAGAAGCTCTTTAGTTTAATTAGATCCCATTTGTCAATTTTGGCTTTTGTTGCCATTGCTTTTGGTGTTTTAGACATGAAGTCTTTGCCCATGCCTATGTCCTGAATGGTATTGCCTAGGTTGTCTTCTAGGGTTTTTATGGTTTTCAGTCTTACGTTTAACTGTCTAATCCATCTTGAGTTAATTTTTGTATAAGGTGTAAGGAAGGGATCCAGTTTCAGCTTTCTGCATATGGCTAGCCAGTTTTCCCAACACCATTTATTAAATAGGAAATCTTTTCCCCACTGCTTGTTTTTGTCAGGTTTGTCAAAGATCAGATGGTTGTAGATGTGTGGTGTTATTTCTGAGGCCCCTGTTCTGTTCCATTGGTCTATATCTCTGTTTTGGTACGTACGATGCTGTTTTGGTTACTATAGCCTTGTAGTATAGTTTGAAGTCAGGTAGCGTGATTTCTCCAGCCTTGTTCTTGTTGCTTAGGATTATCTTGACTATGAAGGCACTTTTTTGGTTCCA